AAATGGCTCTGCTTGCTACTATGGCGCTCGTCGTACTCGCTTTTCTGGCTCGCTACTGCGTCATATACATGTATCAAAAACAATTACCTAGCGACGTCACACCGCCCCAGAAGTCCAAAGGAACCCATACCTATTAAAAATTTTTCCGCAACAAACATACCCTTCACCTTCTCTAAGACCTAAACCATTCAACCTTAGACCAACAAAAGATGTGACTATGTCCAACGACAACGTCAAACATAAACATGTACAAGGCTTCTGAGAGGTAAAATAGGCAGTTTTATATACGCTAAAAGGAACTTTGTGGCATGTTTATACATAGAGGAGCACCCTCTACACCTTTCACAAGTACACCCACACACAGACACCCATACCTGTTTTACATGCAAAGTGTTCTCCTGTGGTTAAAGAAACTTGAGAAAAATGCTCCTTTTTCTCCAACTATGAATGATAACTCCTTCGAGCTGGATTTTGGATGATGATTTCCTGGATTGTTTCTTTTCATTTTGCCACTAATAACCCTGACCCTAAAGTGCCTTTGAAACTGTTTTTCAGAGAAGGGCAAAACATTGTGTGGGCATGTGAGAGTGCACACTACGCCATCGCACCTGCATTATTTGGACTTTTTATGCAGAAGTCCAAACTATGTATGAAACGCTTGCACACAAGTACACACAACGTCATTGCACCCCACATTATGTGGACCTCTTTGGTGCAGATGTCCACACTATGTATCCACGCCTGCACACACACCCACACTTACATTACTTACCTAGTGTGAACATTATTTTGTTTTCTTGCACTTAAATTAAAACAATCGATTAAAGGTCTCATTTTCTTGAACAGGGAAACACAATTTTCGGCTGAATTTCACTATTCATCTCCTTTTACGACGGATGACTCTAACCCTCAAATGCCTTTAAACCTCTTTTTCAGAGAATGTAAAACTTCCGGTGGACATGGGTAGGTCCACAGAACGTCTTTCCTTCCTGCATCGTGTGGACGTCTTTTGTTCACAACTCCACACTAGTACGAAAGGTTAGCGCACCGGAAATTGGCATCTAGTTTGGGCTCCTGTTTTTTTTTTTACCATGCCCAGGAAGGGTTGGCTAGTTTCGAGGTAATTGTTATACATGTACTTTTTATGTGTTTTGTGCGTACGTGCGCAAAATGTAACAAACTAACAAACGAGCAGGTCAAGGCGCTCCACGAGAGGCCCTCCGCCGGCAATTAGAGCATATCAAGTTTCGCCAAAATAATGCTATATCACAGTCCCTTACACTNATCACAGTTGAAATATCTCAACAAGAGGAATCCGGTCATATCAAATTCTCAATGACGTGCAATAGTTTGTAGTAGCTGTAGGCATGTGTACATCATCTCTTTTTTAAATTGGGGGGATCTTGAAACAAACTTCGAAGCTTAGTTACATTATATACAAATATTGTTCATAACTGTGATCACATTCAGCATGTTCCCACGAAAATATCCACTGAAAATGTTTTAAATATCACCTAGGGTAAACATGTACATTCTACTTGCCCAAATAGAGCGTCTAGAGTTTTTGGGAGAATAAACAACCCCATTTTGGACACCTCGCAAAACGCATTGTTTCCAGCTGGTGTTAGTTGCAGGATACTTATATCTTCTAAGGCAGGGTGGATATCTTGTATAATTATTCCAGCACCTAAATCCCTAACAGCTGGTAGTGTTGTCGTAATCAATAGTTCCCTCCACCCGAGGGACTCCTGAGGCTTGTACTTGCTTTTAAATGTAAAGTATTTTTGTTCCTAAGAAAGATGTGCATAAGGCTGTAACAAAAGCAAATCGACCAGTGCAATGGGATTGCTGCCTTGCCCCCCCCCCATGAATTCTTAGTTTTTTACTGAGGAAGACTTTTGTTACATCATTGATTAGGTTGGTATCAATTCTAATCGGCCCTTCTTTTTTTAAGCAAATTGAAATCTTATAAGCATTATTCAGTATTCCTTAACCAATAAATACGCGCCAATTTTCCTTTTAAAAAGATGCTTTCATTAACATGAAACTGTTCCAATGAATAAATCAGCCTGTTTAACATGGGCTCGTGTCCTGGCTATACTTGGTTTACAATTTAAATATCACAGGCATTTGGCAATCCTGCTTTGTGGTTTGCTTTTGATTTTTGACGTTGTTAGTTCAAAACTCGCCCTTTTGGAACAGTCATAGCGCCCTCTAGCCTATTGTTTAGAACGTTTCTGGAACAGTGGATGGCACAGGAGAATAAAGTTCTTTCAACCTGTTATCGTTACTTGTTAAAATGTAATTGCTCCTAAATTTAAAAAAATGCTTTATGTGGTGTAGAAGTTATAATACCCGATTTTGCTCTGAAATATACAGACCTTTATAGTACTACCCTACAAAGAATACGAATGTGTGATTGATTTTAAGATGTAAACACCAGCCAATTTGATTTGAAAGGAAACAGTTTGAAGAACCCTCCACCTGCCAAAAATACTACCAATATGCAGACACTTCCTGTGGAGTTAATGTGTGTAATTTAAATGATGAACTTGGTCAAACATACGTCTTTAATTGTCTTTCTGGAAGGCAATAGTTGCAAATAAGAAATCAGCACACGGAGTGCAGTTTCAATTGAGGGATTTTTCAACTTAGTTATGTATTCCGTTATCCACATCTGCGAGACCGAAAAGAAAACAGAGATTCCTGTATGTACATATTTCCGAAATAAAATATTTCAGACATAGATTTTATAAATATACATTAATAATTGACCTTAATTCCAGTAGGGTAATAAAGATATACTTATTTTACAGAGAAGAAATAATTTCCAGTTGAATCATATCTCTATTATCTGTAAAGAATTTGTTGTTGGAGGCATCGTTTCAAGTCACTGTTAATTTTAATGGCCATCTTGTCGTGCTCCTTCAACGCTGTGCTTCATGCCATATGTGAAGTACACGAGTATTCCTGGAAAGCAAAAATTTTTCATCTTCAGTACTCAGTCAGTAGTTATCAACTAAAACCAATACCATTGAATAAAATTTGAATAAAATCTGGTACACTGCCTTCTTCAAATTCACTTGACCACAACAATTTGAATTTTCAATACTAAAAACACTGTTGCTATACCTCGTGATTCCGGGCAAGCTTTTGCTTGGTTACATTTTGCGTCATTGCCTTCAACGGAGAAGGGCACATTGGAACCAATCCATTGCAGAGATGGTGATCGCTATGCAAAAGCTTGCCCGGAACACGATGTATAGCAACAGTGTCTTTAGTCTGGGGAATTAAAATTGTTATGATCATGTGCAATCAGTGTGTCAGATTTTATTCAAATTTAACTCGCAAAGGGCTTCTTTTGAACAAGATGATTATTAGAAGCTCCCTTGGCTTGTTCCTGTTTTAAACCGTTCCATTTCCTTTTCCTGTGCGTTGCCGGTGCACTCACAGGTCAAGGGCCAAATATAGCTCAAAAGTCTAGCCCATTGGGCTATATTTCACCTGCATATTTGCAGAACACTATGGAATGAAAGATGGAAAAAACTCAAAAGCTAGAGGGCATTTAAATTTACAAGCATAAAAACTTACACCGAAATCATTAAATCACATATGAACTTTGATGACATAATATTCAGATATAATAAGCAACAGTTTAATACGTGTGTTCCAAATAGGAAAGTTGAGGTTGATTTCCAAATTCCAAATCGTGTTCAAAAATTTTAAATAGTTAGAAGATTAATCGTGAGGCAAAATCAGAATAAGAAAGTAAACTTCTTGAGGCCTAGTTCTGAAGGTTGAAGACTAACGATTTCCATGTAAACTATACTGACCAATTTTGGATGGTAACGCCGGATGGTAAAGTGGATATTGAATTTATTGAAGAAAATGGTTATGGTAGTTGGAAAATATTACTGCAATTTAAAAAAAATGAAACACCGGAATGTGAATTTCATAAACATTTAAAGTTTTTATTCAGTAATGCATTTGAACTCTGTGAAGAGAATTGGGGTCATTGTCTGTGGGTACTTGAAACTTTTCTAAGTAGAGTTATTTCCGTCATAAGTAGTTGGTATGTGATACTTACCTAAACATGTCCACACGAGGACTTGAATGAAGGCCAGGAAGTCAAAGTGTAGCAAGAGTATGGTGGTAGACAGCAAGCCGATCAGCGGTAAGAATGGCATCAATGGCACCTGTCATCAAACAAAATATACTTGTCTTTCTCTCAAAGTGCATCTATATGTGTTTGCTTTTTTCAAAAGTTTGTTTGATTGATGGTTTCATGCTGAGTTGATTAATGGTTTTTATTTCTACTAAAATTAGAATATCCTGATACCTAAATGCATCGTTATCTTAATAGTGTCTTGCGCTTCACGAATGCTTGCCTACATTGCCGGTCTATTGAGTCCAAGGCACATGGTAAACACGGAAGTAAGTTACGCAAAACGTCCTCTGGCTTCCAGAATCAAACCATTACTGTGGCGACTGCACATTCGCACACCGCAAGGTGGCGTTAAATACCACTTCCACCAGTGGACCTAAAACACAATCATGTCACACGTTCTTTACATTGCGTTTTCCTATGGGCCATCCGTGGATCGTGTCCCACCTCATTGCCAAAGGAAAGCGCACAGGTAAACGAAGTGTGACTTTATTAAGTAACAGTTCTATAGGATACCGAAGTAACTACGTCACGCTTAAAATAATGTGTGTAAAGGGCATTAGCCTGACAACCAGCGCGTGAACCAACATGCGCGCACTCCATTCGTTTGCACTATATTATCTGGGCACTGTTGAATTTTAGCAAAGATTGCATAAGGAGAAGATTGGCCACTCCATGTTTAAAAGTAGCCTGGTTCCCAAACCAAGATTTCCTGACGAATTCGATAAAATCTTGGGCTAGGCATTACCCACAGATATAAATAGATCACCAATAGGTCATCACAAGAAAAGCGCTGGTTGGATCCCATGTTTCGAAGTTCATACAGGCTGTCAATGTTGACTGTCACTTTGAAACATGGCAGGAACTCAAAAAGGCGTTGGAAAGGAGCAACACTGCGTTGTATGTGGGCAGCAAGCAAAAGAAAAAAATACGTGAACATCTAATTTTGCATTCAGACACAGCCAAAAAACCCGAACATAAATGATGCTATCCATCAATAATTCTTTGTGAATATAGAATGATTTATAAAATTTAAGAATCAAATGAAACATTATTCTTCTCAGTTAAAGCCTTTGTTTGGCTTTCAAAGTTGACGTATATTAAAAACAGCTTATTGAAAATGCTGTTAATTTTGCTTTACTGTCTAATTAAGTCTTTTCATTCAATATAAAATAAATTACCTGACTGTGTTTAATTATTTCAGCACAGATCGGCTAGGTAGGCCGAAGCAAGTTTATTTTTATGTATTAATCTAACCGAGCTGTTGCTTTAGAGTAATCTCCACATTCAAAATATTTTATATAAGGATATCAATATTGTGATTTCTTTTTATTTTATAAATTTGGAAATATATACTGCGAATGAAAAGTAGAATCAGAAAACTGCCTTTTACTTAACTTTATATCACATAATGAATGTTTTTCATTCGTGGACAGCAGTTGTGGGGGGTCAGTTGGGTACAATGTTACCTTTGCGACAATAATAACAAAAGGTCACATTAATATGCATAAGTATAATAATAATATGATATCAATATGAATAGGAATGAGGTGAAGGGTGAAAAATTCTGGCACAGGTTGACCTTTGGTAAGGGATAGGCATAAGGTCAGAAAGTCTGCCACAGGTTGACCCGGTGTATGGGATAAAATAGGAATAAGGCATAGCAAGGGGTAAATTTTTTGGGGCACAATTTGACCTTGCTTATGAAATGATGACATAACATGACGGGAGGTACTGGCCCACCAGGATATACCAGGCAAGATATGGGACGTAGGGGTACCCCCTCCCCTTACATGTCAAATCCCTATACACGCTCAAGACTATTGTTACCTAACACTCCCCCCCCCGAAGTCTGTAAAGAATTCCTGAGATTCTGATCAAACAATGACCAACACAAAAGCGGGGGGGGTTCTCTCCGTCCCACATCTTGCTTCAAATGCACCAGGAGATCTAATTAAGGAGTAGGAAGCGATAATCCTTACACAATAGACAGCTCGTGCCGCCGGGTAATGAGAGGGATAATTCCTAGACGATGGACTGTACATAGTGGGTGAGCTGTGTCGGTGGACTATTGTGTTAGTCATCGTTGATTTTTTACAATAATTATCTTAGCGATTTTAAGAATACTTACAAATAGGTCATTTGAGAGACATTTTTTTGTACATTTTTCTGCATTAGGGAGACCTTGTCTCCCTTTTAGGGAGACATTTCAGTGTCTCCCTANGAGACAGTAAAGTTGGAAATATTTGTGCACGTTCTTATGGAAATGTCTCCCTAATGACCTATAGCGGTAATTTGAATTGCTACAAGGGTGATTACCGGAAGTTTGTTAACTTTGAAATCAGAGGCATTACATGTACTCATTCTTCTTGGAACCATTTGTCTCTACACACTGTTGTCTTTGAACTTGACAGGAACTGGACAGGCACTCCTTATAGTTGTCAAAAAAGTCTTGACTGCACAGAGGGTCTTTCTGCTTGCCTTCTGCCTGACTTGATCTTCATCCATGCCTTCGTTGAGGTACTTGTCATACTTTCCATCCCACATCCCCCTATGTGTTTCTCTCGCTTCAGCCAGCCAATCTTGGTAGGCGGCATTGTCTTCCAGATCTGAACTGTCTTCATCCGAGGTTTCGTCATCGACCTCTTCAACAGAATCCGAGTTTTCGTCAACTTCATTCGTGTCTGATTCCTCCTCAACATGGATATTTTCCATGTGCCTTTCTATATTAAACTTCCGTCCGAAGCATTTGTCACACTGGTGACAAGCATAGGGCTTGGCTGCATAAATACCATTCTTGTTGACCCTGCGAAGGATGACCTTTAAATGACACGAAACAAATGAATTCGTTCCATATATCTTAAATATACATGTATTTACTGCTTCTGATTTGCATATTTCATTGTTTATTTTGTCATTGTTTTACTGCTCAAATTGGTCTATTTATTGCTCAAACTGCTTTTTGTATTGCTCTTTTACTCGTTTTCTTACTCTTTTACTCTTTTCATTGTTCAAATTGTTCTTTTTATCATTCAAATTGAATTTTTATGGTGTAAATTGATATTTTTATTGTTAAAATACACTCTTTTCATTGCTCAAACAGATCTTTTATTTTTATTGTTCAAAATGAACTTTGTATTTTTCTATTGGTGTTTTTATTGTATAAATTGGTCTTTTTAATGTATAAATTGCTGTTTTTATTGTTCAAATTCCTCCGTTTATTGCTCAAATTGTCCTTTTTATTGCTTTTTTGTATAAAAAGTCCATCTAGTAAAAAAATCTAATTGGACTATGTAGGTTTGCAGTTTACTCCCCCCCCCGCAATAAAAAGGCCAATTTGAACAATAAAAAGAGCATTATTAAAAGAGCAAAATTCTGCCAGAGCCTAACCCATATACATATACAGGATAACCACTGTAGAACGCTGTAGTTCAAAGGAGTAAAAATTCAGCTAGGAACAACAGAGCCTTCTTCCCGTATAGATCAAATCTTGGTAGCCATAGTAAGCTCAACGCAATACCGTTAGCACGTGGGCGCCCTCTCTCCTTTAATGTCCAAAGTTTAAGTTGGACCAACGCTCACTTCCAACGTACACAATGTAATCATTAACACAATAGTCCACTGACACAGCTCACCCACTATGTACAGTCCATCGTCTAGGGATTATTCCTCTCATTAACCGGCGGCACAAGCTTTCTATTTTGTTGGGATTATCGCTTCCTACTCCTTAACTAATTACCTTAGGATCTCCTGGTGGGCCAGGACCTCCCAGTCAGTATGACTCATCCTCTTTCATCATTTTATGTCATACTTTCATAAGCGAGGTTAAATTGTGCCAAAAAATTTACCCCTTACTATGCCTTATTCCTATTTTATCCCATACACCAGGTTCAACCTGCGCCAGACTTTCTTACCTTATGCCATTCCCTTACCAAAGGTCCACCTGTGCCAGAATTTTTCACCGTACACCTCATTCCTATTCATATCGATATCATATTATTATTATACTTATGCATAGGTCAAACTCTACCCAACTAACCCCCCCCCGTACTGACAGCTCCTGGAAAGTACTTGAAATCGTTCGATTCTCTGTTTAGCTGACTAATAACTCTATAAAATTTAAATGTTTATAATTTGCTTTATTCATAAATTGCCTTATCTTTTAAAAATTCATCTCTGGATGGTGTTGTCATATTTGTTTCCCTTTTCCGCACCCACGTTTAAGTATACCTGTCGCAAGTAGCGCACCTCCGTATCCCAATTTATTGACACCATCGTGTTTCACAGATCACCGTACAAAAAGATACTTTGAAGACACTTTTGATATTTTTCGACTCAGCAATACCTGTATTAAACTCCCAAGGCAATTCCCTAGGAGAAACTGTTCATTTAAAAAAAAAAGATTTGTAGGAGTGTTTACATCTCCAACAAGGAGAAGGGGCAATTTTCCTGTAGCTTTCACATTAACTGGCGATTGGGGGGTCTATTTCCTTTCCTTCCAAAACAGGTTAAGAAGCCCCAAACTTACTCTCAATCCCCTAAAAGCCATAAATGGTTACAAACGGAAAATCTCAATCATTTAACCTGGGAAAGAAATGCCCCCCTTAGATATAAAAATACATATAGGCTCTGGAACAGACCTTGAAGTTTCTTACCTTAAAAGGGAGTTCGTCCCTATATTGCGGGAGAAGCAATAAGGGAAAGCATGCGATGAGACACAGAACACCGCAGATGACAATCCATAGTACTAAAGAAGAGTCACTGGCTTGTGAAAAGTCCTCCAGAGTGAAGGTTAGCAATCCCACAAAGAGGAATTCAAAGGTGATATGCAAGCATAAAGACAGGATCACAGATCTAGTTGGATGATTTCTGATCCACTGAAAGAGGACAGTTGAGGCCTTCTTGATCAAAGATGGAGGCGATGGGGGATCGCTTCCAGCGTTATTGTCACCAGTAAAGGTTTCCTGCATTTGATCCAGCAAACCCTTCATTTCTAGGTTACTGTGGTGTCGATTTACATGTGGTACAGACGAACCTCCAGTGCCACAACTTTCATCTTTGCTTTCCACTTCCATGTATTCACTTTGTAGAGTGGGATTGTAACGCAGAATGACTGCCGCAAATATAACGCCGACCGTCTCCAGCGTAAATAGCATAGACGGTACCTGAATTAAAAATTTGATATCAATAAGCACGCCTAGAACTAATGAAAGGCATGCCCCAAGAAAGTTAGCCAGCAAGGGTGTCTTTGTCGTCTCACTGGTCTTGGACAACATGGCGGGCAGAAGGCCGTCCCTTGACATTGGATAAATGAAGCGAGTCGAACTGTAAGCGAAGTTAAGAGCTCCGCCCGTTACACTGCACAGTGCGCTGATAGCTACAATGTACTTCATCCAGTGTAAACCATCAAGTTCGTCAAATACCGCTTCAAACGGAGATTTGAGATCGATGTTGCTGTATTCCGCTAATACAGTGATTGAGAGGGATCCAGCCAAATATACCAGCATGCTGATAGCAACTGCAGCCAACAGTCCCATCAGGAGATCCTTCGTTTGATCCTTCGCTTCCTCGGCACAAAGTGCGATGGTTTCGAACCCAGCATAGCCTAAATAAGCAGTGAATACACTTGCTACAACCTCATCAAGTCCAACTCCCCGAGGAGCAAAACCATGCTCAACAAGGTAAAAGAAATTTGCGTGAATCATCGCCACAATGAAAACAAAAGTCAGAGTTAATAAGGTCGACAGCACGAACACATTGTTAACCTTGGAGAATACGTTCGTGCCGAATGATACAAGAGCATTAGACGCAAGAATCACCAATCCAGCGACAAAATCGGGATAGCTGCTAAGAAGAGGGGCATCCCATTCCTCACCTCCAAGAACAAATTTGACAGTAGCATTTTGTATGTAGCCTCCTGTAGCCTCGTCTAAATAGCCACTCCAAACTTGCGCTATTAAAGCAACCCCAAGGATTCGCGTCGCTACACCACCCCAACCAATCAAGAAAGCCACCATTTCTCCAAGTGTCGCATACGCGAACGCGTAAGCCGCTCCTGTTTCAGGAATCTGCAAGGCGCACTCAGTGCAGCACAGCCCAGCTAACAAAGCAATCAGTCCAGAGATGAAGAAAGCCAGAAGAGAAATCGGTCCTGCCACCACTCCTACAAGCTGTCCAGGCAAAAGAAAAACGCCGGATCCAATCATACTTCCAACACCGATCATCGTTAAGTCAACTGCGCCAAGGCATCGATCCAGAGGTGCTGAACTCACTCTCCTTTGTACAGGTTTCCTGCGACATGCTGAGCCAACAATTTCTTGGAACCACCGCAGAGGACCCATCATGGACTGAGGGCTGTGATTAAAAAAATGCAGATTGTTTACCAATTGTGGGGATGTTCATTAGACTGGGCATTCGACCACTGTGGCAGCAATTTGTTTCAGACTTTGCAATCGGTTACTTTTTTATTTGTGTCCAGTACCTTTGCAAAATAATGACCAAGTCAC